GGGCCTCTTGGGTCGTCTTGGGGTGGTCTTGGGGGCTTCTTGGGGGCCTCTTGGGCCGTCTTGGAGTGTCGGAAACGCGAAAAGGCGAGGAAGCCAAAAACCTTCAGAAACCTGATGGAAATCACTGAGTTTGCCCCTTGGGGCTCCGTTTTGGAGCCTTTTGAAGTCTCTTTCGGGACTCTTGGCGCCTCTTGGGGCCTCTTGGGGGCCTCTTGGGGTGTCCTGGAGGCCTTTTGACGTGGAAGGCTCGGATTTTCGGTTCGTGGTCTCCATCTTGGCCCCTCTTGGGGCCCTCTTGGGCGCCTTTTGGGCTGTCTTGGGGCCCTCTTGGGCGGTCTTGGGGCTCTCTTGGGGGCGTCTTGGGCCGCCTTGGGGTGGTCTTGGGGGCCTCTTGGGCCGTCTTGGAGCGTCGGAAAGGCGAAAAGGCGAGGAAGCCAAAAACCTTCAAAAACCTAAGGAAAATCATTGATGTTTGCTTCTTGGGGCTCTCTTGGGAAGGGTCGGGGCTCTCTTGGGACGTCTTGGAGGCCTCTGGGGCCGTCTTGACGCCGTGTTGGGCGTCTTGGGCCGATCGTTCGGTGATTCGGAGCCCTCTTGGACCGTCTTGGGGGCCTCTTTTGGCCCTCTTGGCGCGCTCCGGGGGGCGTTGAAGGCCGCACCCAGGAGGGAAACCATCTCTGAGTAGTAGTTCCCGGGCGGCGGTCGGGGTACTTTTCGCCGGGGGACCCCCAGGGGCCGCCCCGCGCGCGCGAACTAGAATTTTTGTTAACCAGTTACCGGAGATCTTAGCACGCCTCTGGCCCGTCGGGCCGGCGAGTTTTTCGTCGAAAATCCCCCCGTAGGGCGACAGGCCCGACATAATCCCAGACCCCTGGCGCCATGGCTGCTTCTCGTGACGTCGACCCCCAAGGAGGCCTCGACCCACTCCCCGGGGCGGGCCTCTCGCCCTGCGTCGCTCCGATCGCGGCCCCGAGGAGGCCCGGCGAGGGCCCCCTCGGAGGCCGAGTTTGGCCGTAGGGGGACACGCCCGACATAAGCTGTAGGGGGGACGTGCCCGAAATCCTGCTCTCAGGGCTAAGAGAGGCGCAGCCCGAGGCCGGCCCGGCAGGCCTGGAGCTCTGCCGGCGAGGCCTCGGCCGCTGTTACGGAGGCGCGCCGCCCGAGGCCGGCAGGCCCACGGGGCGAGAGCGCGGACGGCGGCGCCCTTCCTCCTCCTCCTCCTCCTCCGCCTCCTCCTCCTCCTCCTCCTCCTCCTCCTCCGCCTCCTTCTCCTCCTCCTCCTCCGCCTCCTCCTCCTCCTCCTCCGCCTCCTCCTCCTCCTCCTCCTCCTCCGCCTCCTCCTCCTCCTCCGCCTCCTCCTCCGCCTCCTCCTCCTCCGCCTCCTCCTCCTCCTCCTAACCTCCTCCTCCTCCTCCTCCTCCTCCTCCGCCTCCTCCTCCTCCGCCTCCTCCTCCTCCGCCTCCTCCTCCTCCGCCTCCTCCTCCTCCGCCTCCTCCTCCTCCTCCTCCTCCTCCGCCTCCTCCTCCGCCTCCTCCTCATCCTCGGGAGGAGCGTCCAACCTCAAGAGATGGTCGGGGGACGATGGCGCGGACGGCGGCACCCTGAGGGCCTCGAGCCTCGAGCCCTCAAGTCGGGCCCGTCCCTCCACGGGAGGAGCGTCCAACCTCGAGGGATGGTCGGGGGACGATCGCGCGGACGGCGGCACCCTGAGGGCCTCGAGCCTCGAGCCCCGAGTCGGGCCCGTCCCTCTACAGGAGGAGCAGCCAACCTCAAAATATAGTCGGGGGACGATGTTTGAGTAGTGTGTGGCTATGTGGCATAGTGTGCGAGTCGTTTTTGGTCTCGTGTCCTCACTGTCTGTCCACAAATCCCCCTGCAGGGGGACAGGCCCGAGCTGACTCGAGCCGCGAGCACGCTTCCAGACCCCCGCGAGGTCAGGAGCAGAGTCGCGACGGGAGGCCTTCCGCCACACTCGGCCTCCGATGGGGCCCTCGCCGGGCCTCCTCGGGGCCGCGATCGGAGCGACGCAGGGCGAGAGGCCCGCCCCGGGGAGTGGGTCGAGGCCTCCTTGGGGGTCGACGTCACGAGAAGCAGCCATGGCGCCAGGGGTCTGGGATTATGTCGGGCCCGTCCCCCACGGGGAGGGATTTTCGACGAAAAACTCGCCGGCCCAACGGGCCAGAGGCGTGCTCAGATCTCCGGTAACTGGTTAACAATAATTCTAGTTCGCGCGCGCGGGGCGGCCCCTGGGGGTCCCCCGGCGAAAAGTACCCCGACCGCCGCCCGGGAACTACTACTCAGAGATGGTTTCCCTCCTGGGTGCGGCCTTCCACGCCCCCTGGAGCGCGCCAAGAGGTCCAAAAGAGGCCCCCAAGACGGTCCAAGAGGGCTCCGAATCACCGAACGGTCGGCCCAAGACGCTCAACACGGCGTCAAGACGGCCCAAGAGGCCTCCAAGACGTCCCAAGAGAGCCCCGACCCTTCCCAAGAGAGCCCCAAGAGACAAAAATCAATGATTTTCCATAGGTTTTTGAAGGTTTTGGCTTCCTCGCCTTTCCGACGCTCCAAGACGGCCCAAGAGGCCCCCAAGACCACCCCAAGACGGCCCAAGAGGCCCCCAAGAGAGCCCCAAGACCGCCCAAGAGGGCCCCAAGACAGCCTAAAAGGCGCCCAAGAGGGCCCCAAGAGGGGCCTAAGATGGAGACCACGAACCGAAAATCCGAGCCTTCCGCTCCAAGAGGCCTCCAGGACGCCCCAAGTGGCCCCCAAGAGGCCCCAAGAGGCGCCAAGAGGCCCGAAAGGGACCCCAAAGGCTCCAAAACGGAGCCCCAAGAGGCAAAACTCAGTGATTTCCATTAGGTTTCGGAAGGTTTTTGGCTTCCTCGCCTTTTCGCGTTTCCGACGCTCCAAGACGACCACCCCAAGACGGCCCCAGAGGCCCCCAAGAGAGCCCCAAGACCGCCCAGGAGAGCTTCAAGACAGCCTAAAAGGCGCCCAAGAGGGCCCCAAGAGGGGCCCAAGATGGAGACCACGAACCGAAAATCCGAGCCTTCCGCTCCAAGAGGCATCCAGGACGCCCCAAGAGGCCCCCAAGAGGCCCCAAGAGGCGCCAAGAGGCCCGAAAGAGACCCCAAAACGCTCCAAAACGGAGCCCCAATATACAAGAGTCAGTGATTTTCTAATGTTTTTGAAGGTTTTTGGCTTCCTCGCCTTTTCGCCTTTCCGACGCTCCAAGACGGCCCAAGTGGCCCCCAAGAGCGCCCCAAGACGGCCCAAGAGGCCTCCAAGAAGGCCCCAAGACGGCCCAAGAAGGCCCCGAGATGGCCCAAGAGGCACCAAGACCGCCCAAGAGAGCCCCAAGACGGCCCCAAGAGGGGCCCAGGAGAGGGACCACGAACCGAAAACGTTAGCTTTCTGCCCGAAGAGGGCCCCAGGACGCCCCGAGACGCCCCCAAGAGGCCCAAGATGCCGCCAAGAGGCTCCCAGGAGGCCCCAGAAAGCTCCCAGGCGCCTCCGAACGGCCTCTCAAACGATCCCAAAAGGCCTCCCAAACGGCACCTCCTCCTTCTCGCCTCCTCCACCTCGCACCCTAAAGCTCCGCAATCCCCGCCCAAAGCCTCCGCAAGCTGTTTCGCGGGGGCAGCTTCAACACCACCATCCCGAACGCAACGCCTCAGAAAAAAACATGCGCCGACCCCTGCAGCTCCGCACTGCCGACGACCTCTCGCCCAATCGACCGCGGTGCCTCATCATGGGCCGGCGGAATGAGCGAAGCGATTAAATAAAAATGCGCAACAAATAATCCAAAAAGGTCAAACAATACTTTGAAAAATAGTTCCTTGACTATTTTTTGGCTATTTGTTTTTGCTATGTTTGGGGAATGTCTTATTTTTCGTCGAAAATCCCTTTGTAGGGGGACAGGCCCGACTTAAGTCTGGGAGTTCCGCCCCGAATCGCCGCCGGCGAGGCGCGCCCCGTGGCCTCTCCGCCCCCCATTTGCCGCGCACCCGGCTTGTCTGGCCGAGGCTCTGGGGGGGGGACCTGTGCTCAGGTCGATGATCCTCAGGACGTGCGTCGGCCCAATGTGTGTTTTTTGTCCAGTTCAGCCACACCCTCAGGTCATGACGTCGCCTGCGTCGTGTGTAGGGAGGCCTCGGTGGATGAACACGCGTGGGCGCCGACGCGCGCTGTGGGGGGTCGTCGATCAGGGGAGGCCGCAGCACCGCTCAACGATGTGCTGTCAACCAAACCTGCAGGGTGGGCCATTTCCATTTCTCTGTGCACTGCAGCTTTGGCTTCGGCTTCAGCTGCCGATGCACCGTGAAGCGCCTTCGGGCCAGCTCAACCAGAGTCGGATTTTCCTCTCGCACGAGTGCTCCCCCCCATTCCGCCGTTGCAGCTGGCTGGGGGTCTGAGGTGCCCAGCACGTGTGCCAGCGAGCAGGAATCGGCTATCGGCCGAGGGGGTCCCAGAGAGCTAACGCATTGAGCAAAATCAGAACGGAGGGTTTTCTCAGTTTTCGGCCTCGAGGGACCCTCGCCAGGCCCGGGGTCCGTCCCAAAACGATTTTGGATGAAGAGCCGGTCTTGGGGAATGGCTCGAGACTTCCAAGGACCCCGCACTGAACAGAGATCGCGACATCGGATCTCTGGGGCAGGGAGAGAGGGGAAGGCTGCGGCTTCCCCAGACACCTCCCCTCCCTCCTCCCTCCTCCCTCCTCCCTCCTCCCTCCTCCCCTTTCCCCATTACCCCCTTGGGCGCGCCGCCAAGCTCAGCGTGGGTTCCAGCAAGCTGGCGAGCTGGAGGGGGGGGGGTAGAGGTTTTGGGCCGTCCAAGACGGGCTTGGACCATCAGAAGCAGATCCGGCTGAAGGACCGCACCAGGTGGGCCCGGGAGAGGTCCTGGGACGGATTTTGAGCGGATTTGGCCTTCCCCCCTTCTTGACATCTTTTCTCGGGGCCCCAATTGAGACCCCCTGGCCGCTTCCAACCTCTGCGCAGGGCGACTCCGGTGCTGCCGTCGCCGGTGCAAACGCGCCGGCAGCACGACGAGGTCCCCGACGTGGGCGCCGCCGTCGACGGCAGGAACAAGAGGGCGGTGGCGGAGGAGCCACGGGTCACGAGTGTAGGTTCTAGTCGGGCGTGCCCCTCTACAGGAGGAGTATTCAAAAATAGTATGATATTGTATGGAGGCGATGATGGTATTTGTTTGACTAATTGTTCGTATGTTCTGCATTTGTCGTCCCAAATCCGCCTGCAGGAGGACATGCCCGACCGAAGTGTACGCCCAGAATTGCTCCCTCGCGTCGTGAACAGAATCGCGAAAGTCGTGGGAGGGGGGGTTGTCGTAGTTCGAGGTTTTCGGGCCGTCTTGTCGGTTCTCTTCGGCGGTGTTTTTGCTTCGGGATGCCTTGCAGCAGCCGTGTCTCGCCGAAATCATTTCCGGGTGTGCCGGGATCGTTCTGGACGGCTGCTGGTGACCCGCGTCAGATTCCGAAACCGCATCGCCCAGACCTCCAACGTAGGAGGTTTTTGGCCGTTTTGGGCATCGGGGGTTCTTTGCCAGGCTCCGGGGCCTCCAAACAACGGCACAGGATGAAAAGCTGGTCTTCAGGAATGGATCGTGATTTCGGGGGCCTGTATTGAAGAGCTCAAGACGTCGGATCTCTGGGAACGCAAACATGGAGTAAAGCGCGTGGATCTGATCAGCGACGCTTCCCGCTTCCATGCAAAATCGGCGCGGGTTGTCGCCAAATCGGCTGGCGTTGGCATCATGCTTCGGGGGGTGGTCATCCCTGATCAATGGGCCTGGCGCTCACGCGCGAGATCCATGAATCGTGATGGAGGATCGTCGGGTCGGCTGTTGCCAGAGATCCGCTACGATCGAAATGGGTACGGAAAGTATGGGGGCGAAGAGTGGTGGCAGTTTTTGTCGATTCTGAGCAGGGATCGCTGTCCACTTAAAACAGTTGAGGCCAGTCCAGTGGCTGAGACGGTGCATGCCTGGAGAAGCGACCACAACGGTCGTCAAGCCGGCCCCGAGACTACGTCCGCCGAAGCCAGAGCAGTCGCCAATTCAGCCCCAACATTTCGTTCGTCAAGACGAAAGGAGCCGTCAACCCGGACCCGACTCCTTGTTCGTCAAGACCGAGGTCGTTTGTAACCGTCAGCTCGGTCCCGACGGTTCGTTCGCCAAGACGGAGGGGCGGCGAGGGGGACCGTCAAGGGGTTTGATCAATTCGGGGGGAGGCCGTCACGGCCCACCACCCCAGGGGGAGGCCGCCCAGGGGGGGTCGTCAAGGGGGTTCGCCAACTTTGAAGGAGGCCGTCAAAGGCGCCCGTCAACTCGGAGAGAGGCCGTCTGATGCCGCCACAGGGGGTTCGTCAACTCAGCAGGGGGCCGTCAAGGGGGTTCGTCAACTCGGATTTGTCGGCCAAATCCTTGCACTAAGATGGAGGTGGCGGCCACATCCTTTCACTAACATGGGGCTGGCGGCTCAAGCGCCGGATAGAGTATACGCGGTCATCCGTCGTGGCGTCCAGGCCCGCCTCCAGACCTGCCGCCCGCATCAGACTCAATGAAACAGACGGGCCGCCGGCCCGACAGCGGCAGAGTTCAGTTTTGGACGGCATGTGCTATTGGGCATCGCATTGAGCATGGACGTGTTTTTCCGTGGACTCTCTGGGCGTGCCAAGAAAAGGCTCTTGCCCAGGGTGACCCCAGCTATTCCAGCGAGGCCCAGGCGGCCTTCTCAGCACCCCTGTCGAGGCCCCGAGGGGTACCATGGGGCTCCGAGGCGGCCTGATGGGCTGGGGGCACTTGTCCGGGGCCAGAGCCGCTCTAAACAGCACCCGAACGGGGGGGGGGGCGTTGGGCCCTCTCAGAGGCATGCTGGAAGTTGAATTGGGGAAGCTTGGGCAACTCTGTACGATCTCCGAGGCCATCGTGGGCTGTCTGGAGCATCATTAGGGCCGTGCTGGATCATCTTGGACGCTGTGCCCTCTCGCGGAACGCACCCGACAGATCCTGGACGATGGGCCACGAGGAAAGGGTAAGGTTCTGCCCAAAAGGGGAAGGGGAGGTTGGAAGAGCAAGTTCGTTAGACCTCCTGCGAACTATGTCGGAGGTTGATAGACCTCCTACCCTGACACGTCGATTAGCGAATTGGCCGTTTTTGGTTCGCGAGAGCGCGTCGCGGCCGTCGTTTTGCGGGTCGAGGTCCGTCGGTTTTGGTCCTAGGCCGGTTTCCTTACAGGGTGGTTCATTAAAGGGAGGTTTGTGGTGGTGTTTCAGAACGCATTCCAGGAAAAGGCCCCCCCCGGGGTGAGGTATCGCTATCAGCATCGTTTGTTTTCCCAGCTACCTCATTAGGGGGGCGGGGGGTACCCTGACCTTCCGGGAGGGTTGAAAAAGGAAATGCCATCAGGACTTTTGAGTGATTTTTAGCAGCGCAGAGCGATTGCAGGTTGGGGTGTGTGAGACCGCAGTGTCTGCCTTACTTTGTTTGTGCGCTCGAGGTCTCTATTCCTTGGGCCAGACCCAGAGCTGTCCTGGTTCTTGAAGACCTGAAGAGCGCGCTCTACTTGTTAAAAAAGCCGACCTGCTGGGGCGTCCCTCTGCGCCTCCGGCTGTTGCTTCGCGCCAGGCGACGTTGATTTAGAGAGGTCTTGGTTGCGCGGCGTGTGCATGGGGGGCCACCACCATGCCCGTGGGGCACAAGAGTGCGATGGGCTTGGCTCAGTATGCCCTCCAGGTATTCCAAAACCTAAGGAGATCCGCCAGGACCGAATCGTGCCTGCCCAGCGGGCAAGCACCGCCTTGCGACAGATGTGTTTAGCATCTCGGATGAATCTGGTCACGCTCAGCTGGTGAAGGCGATCTGGGAGACAGTTTACCACCAGGACAAGCATCGGGCGAGCAACGGCGACAACGGCCGGGGCAACCTTCGGGATATTCATCGGAACAAACTTCAGGCAACATACGGCGACAACCACAGCACAACCACAGGACAACCAAGGCACAATCACGGCCAACATTGTTGTTCGTCCGAGAAGGGGAAACACCGTTGTAGTCGAGAAACATGACGACGATGACGCAGCGGATGCCGAGCATGAAAGCGCGGAGGACGGCGAGGGCAGCGAGGATAATAGGAGGACAACGACGAACAAGTTAAACACACAAGGGCGATACATAGTTTACGAACGACAAGAAGCACGAGGAGGAATGAGGCGGAGGAGAAGAGGAGGAGGAGGAGGAGGCGGGAGAGGAGGACGACGACGCATCGGGACAAACATCGGGACAACCGTCGGGACAATCGTCGGGAAAACCAGCGGGACATCCGTCGAGATGGCCACGTGACAGTGGGACAACCGCGGAACAACCCACGGACAACCGCTGGACAGCTTCGATCCCACATCTGCCAATTGGGGGGGTAGCAGCACACGTTTCGATGCCGTTCTGGCCACGGCGGGATCACATCTCGCGCCAGCCCGCGCAGCTTTGCCTCGCACGCACGCGCGCCACGAGATCGAAAGCGAAACCGATGTCCCGGTGGCGGGGTCTCCGTTGAATTTCGAACTCACCTCGCCAGTCACCTCGCCAAACTCAGTTCGAACTCACCTCTCGTCTACATGTTCACATATACCAAGTGTAACCGATCTCTGTATTCATACATCTATATACATATATGATAGATGAAACGGATCGCTAACACCAGTCCCGATATTTCCATTGGTAGGGGGAGGTATGGGTAGCCAGGCCAACAGACTGTGAAACCCGTTGGCATACACATAACATGTGGTGCATGAATGAAGGCATGTCTGTCTGTCTGTCTGTCTGTCTGTCTGTCTGTCTGTCTGTCTGTCTGTATCTCTGTATGTATGTATGTATGTATGTATGTATGTATGTATGTATACAATCGCCGCGTACATGGTTAGTGGAAGAGGTCTGCAGTGCTTCTTCCGCGGGCGGTGCCTTAGAGTGTGAGTCGTTCTGGGTGCGTCCATTGGACCTGGCCAGGGTCTTCGGCGAAAGGGGTCGTGTTACTGGCCCACTGTGTTGAGGACACGTGTCGGCTCCAGGTCTTAATGGGGGGAAGGTTCGGAGAAACACTGAGGCTCCAGGTCTGAATGGGGGGAAGGTTCGGAGAAACACTGAGAGGTGGAGGACGAGGAGGAGGATGTTTGAGTATAGAAGCGTGCGTAGTGCAGCGCCGATGTCCTCAAAGGTTGGCATAAGGGTTTGTATGTCGAGTGCGGAAGAGGATGAGGGCGGGGAAGGATGAGGACTGCCAGGGGGGACGAGATTGGACGATGAGGGGGAAACGGCGAGCGGGATCGCGCGGCATCAGGAGGGAGGCGGATGGTTCCTTTTTCGGTCGAAGCGGAGTGTAACAGATTGGTGTTCTGGCTTCTCGCCAGAAGGGGCCGCTTGTCCCAGGGCGGCTGGAGGGTTTACACCTTTGCGGCAGCACGTCGGGGTGTAGATTTGTCAGCCGCCCAGGGAGAGGATTCTTCCTGCTGTATGATTCGTCGAACGCCGGGTGAGGAATGCGGGGCTCCAGAAAACTGTGTCCCGTCGTGGCCTACCATTCGCAAGCGTGTCCTTCAAGTTTCGAAGGGCCTTCTGCCGCAGGGTTGTCGTCTTATATACCGTGCTCCGGCCGCTGAAGTGGGGCAGGCGTCTTAGCCAGCCCACCGCAGGAGGGGACAACGGCGATCAGGTCGCTTGACCCCGACGAGCAGCAGCGCTCTTACGCAGAGTTCATCGCCACCACGCAGAAGAACCTGAACTGCATCGGCGTGCACAGCTGGAGCCTCCGCTTCTGCACCCCCGGTCGGGAGGAGAAGCGACTCCTTCGTGGATGCCATTCCCTTGGCATCGCTCGGACGTGTGCATTTTTCCTTCGGCGAGGGCCATCGAGCAGCATCCTTGATAATTTGGCGAAAAAACCTTGAACGAAACCGAGAAAAACAGGAAATGGACGTCCGAGCGATGCCCAGTTCCTGGGGGAGGAAAGTCCGCATCGGCGCTGGCATATGCGTGGCTTACCGCAGGGCCAGACTCGCACGATCCCGCTGACTCTTGCCTGATCATCCCCCCCCCATTTCCCAGATCCGACGTTGTGATTCTGTGCGCAGCGTGGCTTCCCAGAGGTCTGCACCTCTTTCCCGGGGTTAAGGTCGGGCCTGTCCCGCTACAGGCGGATTTTGGGCGAAAAATCAAAACCATCATTCGAAACCAAGCCAGCACCCAAATAGCAGAAAAAAATACCCCCAAAAATCGTCCCCACACCACTTCGTTCTATATGCTATTCTTGAGCGCTCCTCCTCTGGAGGGACCGGCCCGACGTGAGTGATCCCAGGGGCCGGCTTGACGTCCTGGAGGAGGAGGAGGAGGATGAGGAGGAGGAGGAGGAGGTGGAGGAGGAGGAGGAGGAGGAGGAGGAGGCGGCCCTGGGGCCAGGCGTGGACCTCCGGAGGCCGACGCCGCGTCGCGCCCCTCTCGCGGGCCGTGGCCTGCGGCCACGGCCGACCCGGAGGTCGGCCTCCGGCGGCCGCACCTCGGGCCTCCGACCTGGGCGCCCGCGGAGGGGCTGCGCTCGAGGCGCCCGCGGAGAGAGCGCGCCCCCCAGGCTGCCGAGCTCGCGGGGGCCCCCCCGGGCGCACTGCAGCAGGTCGGACTCCGTCGTGATCTCTCGCTCGCGAGCCCCCCCTGGCTCCGCCTCGTTCCTCTGGGCCGCCCGCGAGGACGCCTTCCTCCTCCTCCTCCTCCTCCTCCTCCTCCTCCTCCTCCTCCTCCCTCCTCCTCCTCCTCCTCCTCCTCCTCCTCCTCCTCCTCCCCATCCTCCTGCTCCTCCTCCCCCGATCCTCCCTCCTCCTCCTCCCCCGATCCCCCCACCTCCTCCACCTCCTCCTCCTCCTCCTTCTCCCCCCATCCCCCCACCTCCTCCTTCCCTCCCTCCTCCTCCTCCTCCTCCCCCTCCTCCTCCTCCTCCTCCTCCTCCTCCTCCTCCTCCTCCTCCTCCTCCTCCTCCTCCCGGTCCTGGAGATAATCGTGCCTCTCGCGTCGTGGTCTGGGCTGGAGCGGCTTCCCTTCTTGGGGGGGGGGGCGTCGCGAGGGCGAGAGTGGCGAAGATAATCGCGCACCACGGAGCGCGATGCGAGAGTTGCGGTAGGTTCGTGCCGTGTCGACGCGGTGGCGATGCCGCCGCGGGCGTTCAAGGTTGAACGCTGTTGGTGGCCCCACATCGGCCAAGGTGGCACGATGCGATCGACATGCCGTCGGTCGCTCAAGGCCGAGCTGTCCACGTGATGTCAGAAGTCAACGCCGGGATCGTCGCGACAGGGGCTTCCTTTGCCCAGACATCCTACGATGTGCTTTTTGTGACCATGCAGCTTCCCAGCTGTCTGGAGTGCTCGGCCTAAACTGTGTCTTGACGACCTCGTGGCCCGTGTCTTCTATATAAAAGCATTGTATATACAGATATACCTATATGAATATATGTGTATATCTATGTATATGTATGCATTAGCTTTCGCAGCACATGCAGAGCTAAGACAACTAGGGAACACCAACACAACACGAACACAAGCAAACATCACTGTTCAGGTCGATCTTTGCCAGGGATTGGCTTCTCGTCCCAAGTAGTGTGTTTTGACCGCCCCGGGGCCCAGCGATGGCCCCTTGGAGGCCGAGTGAAAAAATGGCGCCGTGTGCCCAAAACGCGTGAGTCATATTCTTATTTGCACGCGAGCTCGATTTGTAGGTCGACTCTTTTACACATCAAGGGCGCCCTCGTGCCCTCTGTTTCGCGGCCCATGCCTTCTACATTCCTATGGCAATGTGGGCGGGCCTCGGAAGGGTCTTGTGTCCACTCGCGTGCCCCATCCAGTCAACCCCGACTGTAGCCGCATCCGCAGTCTCGAGGTGAGGCAAGGCGGGCCAAAGCGAGGAGCGAGAGGGGAAGGAGAGAGGAGGCGTGGAGGGAGGGGACGAGGAGCGGAGGGAGACGCAGAAGAAGGAGCCAGCCAGGACGGCTCATTGGCGAGAGCCCGAAGCAGCGACGCATCAGGAGGCCGAACGCGTTTGAACATTTTCCGTCGTGGTTTTCTGGGCGACGCGAGGATGTCAGGGTACGGTTGGCGTCGGAGCGGTAGCGTGTAACATCGATTTCCGACGAGCACGATATTCGGGCCGGACGAAAGGGGGGGATTGGGAAAGGGGGGGTTACGAAATCTGATGCATGCAGCTGGTTTCGGCCCCACAGAGGGGGCCAATCCTCGATACATAGCCGCCTCCGGCGCCGGGGAGGCGCCGAGAAAATCGGCTGCGCGAGCTGATTCTCAAACCCCCCCTTATCTACCCCCCCCCCTTTCGCCCGACCCGAGATGTCCCTGTGCGGCGATCCCCCCGAGGTGGCCCCTTCTGTTCGCGCTGCCCCCCCCGCCAGGGCTCTTTCGATGATTCCCCCTGTCCCCACGGCTGGGGACAGCGTGCAATGAGCGCGGCGGCGGCGCCACGTCGCACGCTGCTTCTCCCACGTTCTTGTCGGACGGGGCTGGGACGAGGACACCTCCGTTCCAGAGCGTTCCAGACTTCCTCCTCCTCCTCCTCCTCCTCCTCCTCCTCCTCCTCCTCTCCTCCTCCTCCTCCTCCTCCTCCTCCTCCTCCTCCTCCCCTCCCCCTCCCCCCTCCTCCTCCCTCCTCCTCCTCCTCCTCCTCCTCCTCCTCCTCCTCCTCCTCTTCCTTTCCTCCTCCTCCTCCTCCTCCTCCTCCTCCTCATCATCCTCCTCCTCCTCCTCCTCCCCCTCCCCCTCCTCCTCCTCCTCCTCCTCCTCCTCCTCCTCCCTCCTCCTCCTCCTAGGCTCCTCCTCCTAGCTCTCCTCCTCCTCCTCCTCCTCCGATCGGAGGCTCAAAGCTGGGTTCCCGAGGTCCAGTTGGCACGTCCCTCTGCAGGAGCAACATGGCTACGGCGGTTCCTCCTCCTCCTCCCCCTCCTCCTCCTCCTCCTCCTCCTCCTCCTCCTCCTCCTCTTTCTCCTCCTCCTCCTCCTCTCCTCCTCCTCCTCCTCCTCCTCCTCCTCCTCCTCCTTCCTTTCCTCCTCCTCCTCCTCCTCCTCCTCCCCTCCTCCTCCTCCTCCTCCTCCTCCTCCTCCTCCTCCTCCTCCTCCTCCTCCTCCTCCTCCTCCTCCTCCTCCTCCTCCTCCTCCTCCTAGGCTCCTCTCCTCCTCCTCCTCTCCTCCTCCTCCTCCTCCTCCTCCTCCTCCTCCTCGTCGTCATCTTCCTCCTCCCCCTCCTCCTCCTCCTCCTCCTCCTCCTCCTCCTCCTCCTCCTCCTCCTCTTTCTCCTACTCCTCCTCCTCCTCCTCCTCCTCCTCCCCCTTCTCCTCCTCCGCCTCCTCCGCCTCCTCCTCCTCCTCCTCCTCCTCCTCCTCTTCCTCCGCCTCGTCATCCGCCACCTCCGCCTCCTCCTCCCCGCTCGGAGCGTTCCCGAACGCTTTGAGAAGATCGTGGCGCCCTAGACGACCTTCCAGAGCCGCCGGATCTCAGAGATACCCGATTCATCCTTCCCTTATGTGATCTTCGTCCTGGCTCCGTTTTGTAACTCCTCTGCCTGTCCTCCCAGAGATCCGATGTCGTGATCTTTTCCATGCGCGATCCCCCGAAGTCCCGACCCATTCCCCAGGACCGGCTTTCCATCCTGAGTCGTTTTTCGACGGTCCTGGGGCCCGCCGAGGGCCCCTAGAGTCTATAGAGGCAGAATTTTTTGTTTTAAGGCGGAAAAGCAACGAAAAAAAAACGTCTTGATTTTGTTCATCCCCAGGACCAGAGTGTCATCCTGAGTCGTTTTCTGACGGTCCCAGGGCCCGGCGAGGGCCCCTACAGGCCCGAACATTGGGAAAATCTTCTCGCCATGATTTTTAAATTACTCGAGGGGCTTGGGCTGGATCGCTGATTTTCTGCACTTCTTTTGCATGCGTTGGATCTCTGGGCTCCCCCGACCACGTGGTGCGGGCCCAGGAGCTTGTGCGCGGCCACGCGGGTGAACGCCACCTGCGCGGGCAGCTGCCTCGCGCTGATGCCCTCCCTGCTACTGCTGCTGGTGCAGTGCGTCGTGCTGCACGCCATGAGCCGCCGAGGGGAGGAGGAGGAGGAGGAACAGGAGGAGGAGGAGGAGGACGACGAGGAGGACGAGGAGGAGGAGGAGCAGGAGGAGGAGGAGGAGGAGGAGGAGGAGGAGAGGAGGAGGAGGAGGAGGGGAGGAGAGGGAGAAGCAGGAGGAGGAGGAGGAGAGGAGGAGGAGGAGGAGGGAGGAGGAGGAGGGAGGCGGGGGGGCAACGCTTGAGTCGGGCGTGTTCCTCTACAGGAGGCATGTTCACAAATCCAAACATAGTCTGGGGTCAATTTTGTTTTTACTTGTTTGGTGCATTTTGGGAGTATGCTGGGGGTACTTTCTATAGCTTTCGCCCAGAAGCCGCCAATAGGGGGAAATGCCCGACCTAAGGCAACGTTTTTGGTTAACCCAAGAGGAGGTCCAGCGAAAAGGGGATGGTGCAGTATATTTGGTACAATAGATTTGTAGGGTTGCAATACGTTCCCGGGCGCAAATGTACCGCTGGATTATCGCGTGCAGCGTATCAGTTGCAATACAATGCAGTCAAATCCCCTGGGCCAATACATTTGCAATGCAATTGGCCCAAATCTATTGCACCACTCCCTTTTAGCTGGACGCCCTTTTTGGGTCACCAGGAACGTCCGGATTTCGTCGGGCATGTCCCCCTACAGGAGGAACATTCAAAACTAGTCAACAACATAGTCTGGGGACTATTTTGTTTTGTATGGTTTGGCCATCTTTGAAGATTTGTGGACTAGTTTTTCACTTTCTGCGAGAATCCACCCGCAGGGGGACATGCCCGACCTGACGTCGAAACCGGTTCCAACGTTTCCGAGCGTGCACTGCTTTCTCGGACGTGTCCGAGACCTGGGGATTGGTCTCTCCAGCAGTGGGGCCTTGTCGAGAGCGTTCTCCAGGGGTGCCCGCGTCGGCCAGCACGGCGGCCAGAGCTGCCCCGGTTTTGGGACTCGGGTCGTTCTCTTCGGGGGCGGAAAAGAGGGGGGGTGATGACTAGGGGGGGGGGATATCATGGCGGGGGCCATGATGTTTCCCCAGATTTTGTGGCGCCCCGTCTTATTTCATCATGTCCCTGGCCCCCCCGCTGGGCCGCGCACATGCCGCCGGTCATGATTTGCACCCCCCCCTCTTGGACACCCCCCTCTTGGCCGCTCCCGATCTCCGAGGGCGTCTCTGGCGGCTGGGGCATCCGAGGTCCCAGAGCCGTGCGTTGGCGGACCGTGCGGTGAGGTCTCGGGGGATCTCGAGGTCACCGCACGGTCTGTCAGCGCACCGTTCCGGGACTCCAGAGGCCGACAACGGTTCCTGTTCGTTTTGAACTGGATTCGCTGTCCGCGTCGCCGCGGATGCTGTCCATTTGAAGCAAAGAAGGCCGCCTGCCCAGGAGCGACCGCGGCTGGGTTTGGACAGCATTTGTGGCTGTTGGGCATTGTGCCAATTTTTTCCGTACCCATTTTCGGGCGTCCAAAGAGTTGCGTCCCGAGAACCATTCCAGTCAGCAGGGAGCACAGGTCAGGGGCAACGTTGGAAGGGATAGGCCGCTCAGGGAGGGAGTGCAACGACCCCAGTCGCCCACTGATCGCGGATAGGGTCCTGGCAGCCCACCCCGCCCCGCCCAGCCTGCGGTTTCGCTGTCGCGGGCCGATCGCCGATCTATCGGCGATGCATCGCCGATTCCAGCTCGAGGTTTTTCTGGTCCCTCCCCCCATCGTTGCCCCCGACTTGGAGGCGCCAGGATCGTCAGATGCGCGACTCCTTCTAGAGCCCACCCCGACCCCGGGAGGCACAATTTTTGTTGAAGGCGCGTGGATCCGCGACGGGCCCTGCTCCCGTGCGGAAGTCAGCCACGCGCAGAGCGGGGTGGGGGGAGGGGGGAGGGCTTCTTAGAAGCACCCCTGCCTCTTAGAGGGCGCATGCCTTATCTGTAGCTGCAAGGCCGGCGCCTTCTAAGGAGCAGCCTTTCTCAAGAAGCCTTCCCCCCTCCCTCCACCCCCTTGCGCGCGCCGCCGAGGAAGCGGCGCCTCCGAGAGCCAGCGACGCGTCGGTGGCCGCACATGTGTCGGGGGGCGACTTGCCGGAGCGGTGGGTCTGGCGCCCACGCGGCAGACCCACGGGCTCGAGCCGGGCATGTCCCTCTGCTGGAGGAGTGTTCCGTAAGAGTAAATCAACAGTATCGGGGGTGGACAGACCTCCTACGGTAGGTTCGCGTCGTGTCGACCGGCGGCGACCCCGCCGCCGACGTTCAATGTTGAACGCCGACGGCGGCCCAGAATCGGTCGATGTTGAACGATCGGACGTTGCGGAGACGGCCGATCGTTCAAAGTTGAACGATCCAGCGCGGTGTCAGGAACCAACGCCAGGGTCGACACGGCACGAACCTGCAGTACCCTGACACGTCGATTAAGGAATTTGGCCGGGTTCGGTTCGCGAGGGGGCGTCGCGGCCGTCGTTTTTGCGGGTCCAGGTCCGTCGGTTTCGGTCCCAGGCCGTTTGTCACCGAGGGGAGGTTTTTATGAAGGGAGGTTTGTCCACCGCCGGCAATAGTTTGGGCACGATTCTTCGAGTAGTTTGGACCCTTTGGAAGTATTGTCCAGGTAGTTGTTTTGCATTTCCAACCCTCCTTGGTTGGGTATTCGTTTTGAATAGAGCACTGCTCGCGCGTCCTCCTCCCGCCTCCCGCCTCCTGCCTCCCGCCCCCCCTCCTTCTCGTCTCCTCTTGCCTTGCCTGGGGGGCTGCGATCTGCGAAATTGTCGCCTTTTTCGAGGGCTGCTGGTGGGTCCAGCGGAGTGAGGCACCGCGCGGATCTGAGCGGGACCTCCCCGTCCCTGGGGGGGCTGCGATCTGCGACATGCTCGTCTCTTTCCAGGGCCTCTCGTGGGCTCGCCACTTTGGAAGGCTGCTGGTGGGTCCAGCGGAGTGAGGCACGGCGCAGACGTGAGCGGGGCCTCGCCGTCCTTGGGGGGCCGTGTCACGGTGTTGCTGCCCCGCCGACGTTTCAAGCACCTTGCCCACTGTCTCCTTCTGGACCTTGCGTCTTCTTTTTAGTGACTCAGGGGTTCACTTGGTTACTCATCGTGTTTCCCTTGATTGGGGACCTGCGAAACTTCCGAATGCCGCTCACAGAAATATATGCGTCCATGTCATATCGCTTTCCTCTCGTCAAATCTCCCAAGCGACTCCTGCCCCTCACTGCGCAGGGGTTGGGTACGTCGCCAGGGCAATGTTTCGTCCAAAACCCGCCCGAAGGAGGACATGCCCGACCTAATCGTAATCCAAATCAGCGCGTGCCCGAGTCGACATGCCAGTTGCGCTCGCGCCGTATCTGGAACCCTCCCCCTCCACCCTTCCCCTGCGCTGTTTTTTTGTTTTCTCCGCCGGGTGTCTCAGCGGATCTGGACCCCCCAGGGGGTCCCATCGTGTTCCGCCGGACAGGAAGCCGTGTCCATCTGAGGAGGAGGGGGCGGCGGATGACCTGGTATCGCTCGGACGTGTGCACTTCTCCTCGGCGGGGATTATGAAGGGGAGCATCCTGGACCATCCCGCACCAAAAAAAACACGCAGGAAGCCGAAGACAGCACAGGGAAGGGACGTCCCAGCGATGGCCAGACGACCAAGAGGACGAGCAGGAAGAAGAGACGCAGGTCCGCACGGACGGTCGGCTCGGGTCCACGGACGTCCGCCGCGGCCCCCGCGCGGGAGGAGCGCGAGCGGCTCCCCCAGGGGGCGGCCTCGGGAGGCGTCCCGCCGCCACGGCCAGGGCCGCCCCGAGGTGGTGGTCGGGTCGAGCCGGGAGCAGGTCCGTGGGCGCATTCGCGAGGGAGGGGGAGGATGGAGGAGGAGGAGGAGGAGGTCGAGGAGATCTAGGAGGAGGAGGAGGAGGAGGAGGTGTGGTGGTGGGAGGGAGGCGGCGGAGGAGGGGGAGGTCGAGGGGAGGAGGTGGTGAAGGAGTGGGAGGAGGAGGTGTTGGAGGAGGAGGAGGTGGCGGAGGAGGAGGAGGTTGAGGAGAGGTTGTGGTGAGGGAGGAGGAGGAGGAGGTTGAGGAGATCTGGCATGAGGGATGTGGCGGAGGAGGAGGAGGTGGAGGAGAGGAGGTGGTGGAGGAGGAGGAGGAGAAGGAGGAGGACGAGGAGGAGGAGGAGGAGGTGGCGGAGGATGCGGAGGTTGAGGAGAGGAGGTGGCGGAGGAGGAGGAGGTTGAGGAGATCTAGGAGGAGGACGAGGAGAAGAAGGCGGCGGCTGTAGGAGAGTGGTCCTGAAGTCAGCGATCTGGACAGGTCTGGGTCTCTGGGGGGGTCCTCCGGGGCGCTGCAGGGGCCCAAGGGTCTCGTGCAGCTCGGGGCTTCGGGGGCTGGCCGGCGGGACTGGGGCCGAGGAGGACGGGCGGCGGCGGAGGCGAAGAGTGACGCCGAGGATGGCCGAGGCAGTGGGAGGATGGAGGCAGGAGGGAGGACTGGCGGCGCGCGTGAAGCGCTGAGACCCTGGCGCCTCACTCTTCTCGAGCCGAGCGTATTCGCCTCTCTGTTCGGGCCCCGGGGCCGTCACGGGATCAATCCGACTCGAGCCACGACGCTGAAGGATGAGGTCTCCAGGGCTCCGGGCGTGCTGTGTTTTTTGCTTACGGTGCCGCCTCTTTTTTCCGCTGCGTCGAGTCTCGGGTGGGGGATGGCTAGGCAAGCGCATACGAACCCCCTCTCTTCGAAGAAGAAACAACCACCAGACATGAACTTTTGGCGCTCCGCGCGGATTCCTTGGATTCGCGCTGGACCCCCCTCCCAGGCGCGCGGATCCAAGAACTCCGCGCGAAGCGCGACAAGTTTATGTTTACGTGTTTTTGTTATTCTTTCATTCTCTGCGGGGCAGATGCTTGTGACGCGCAGGCAGGGGCCGATACGTTGGAGGCTGACTGCACCCGAGTGAACTCCAGGAGGGTGCGGCACCCCCCGTCGGTGGGACCCGCGGGATTCGGGCTCGCAAGCAGTCTTGAGTCGGGCGTGTCCCTCGACAGGAGGATTGATTCAACAATAGTCAAACATGTTACGGTGACGAGTTGTCGACTATTTGTCGACTACTGAATATTTTTGTGTATGAGTTTTTCGTCCTTCCAAAATCTGCCTGTAGGGGGACATGCCCGACCTAAAGGTAGTCCCAGAACGTGGCGCGAGGGGGGCTGCATTGTAAGACGCCGAGGGTCCTTCTGTAGCAGGCAGGTGGCTCATTGGAAGCCCCCCCCGGCTTCTGGGGCGCCTTCTCATGAGCTTCCGGAGCCCCTCCAAGGCGAGCCCCGCCGTCCGAGAAGCGCCGCGCCTCCTCAGAATGCCAGGGCCCCGTGCGCGCCGGGAGAGGGAGGAGGGATGCCGCGGAAGCGGCGCAGCCGCAGGAGCCTGGAGTCGCTGCACCCCGCGTGCAGCCGCAACTCGGACTGTCGAGTCGGCGCTCGGGGGCCGGCAACCCTGTCCGGCGCCTGTGCCCGTGCGTCTGGCGAGGGCCCTCCGGACGTGTGCAGACCCCAGGGTTCGGGGGAACGCAAGACCCGAGTACGCCAGAACTCGGGCTTGCCGACGTTTTTTTTTTTTGACGAGCGCGTCCTGGATCTTGACGGTCCGGTTTTCGTGGGATGTCTGCAGCGGGAGCTCGCGTCAAATTTCAGATTGGGCCGCGCCATTTTTATGATGGCTCCGTCGGGCCAACCCGAGTCCCCCGTACCCGAGTCTTACGTCTCCCCGAAAGGTTCACCAGAGGAGGCAGAGCCACCACCACCAGCTAGGGCGGGCTGGCCGCTCCCCCCCCCCCCCACGAGATGGTGGCACCCCGTTCCGGGCGCGCCCCCAGAGTGCCCAGAGGGGAGTGCCGCCGGCTTTGGGAGAGGGATGGGGGGCCTTTGGAAGGGAGTTCTACGGAGCTCTGGTGGTGGTGGTTCCTTCGGCTTTCATGAAAAGTGTGGTTAGCCCACTCAGCTTCACCGATAACACGCAGTATCTGTCGCCTCTCACTGCTCCGCCAGCGTCGTACTGGAGGGCCATGGTGGACGAGCGCTCGTCGACGCTAGCACCCTCCCCACTCGTGTCCCGTGTCCTCGCCCCCCTGGGCGCCTAAAGATCACGACAACCATAGGATAAGAATCATTGCATGCACAACAGCTTTGGAGCTCCGCGCTGATTCCTCGGATCTGCCCAGCGTCATGCCAAGATATCCTCGGGGACCTTCAAAAGGCTGTATGTATATATATATATATATATATATATATATACACAAGACTGCAGTGGCGCTTCGCGCCATGCACCTTGGTCCCTGAAGATTGCTATGCAGGCGGAATGGCAGGAAGGTCAAGCCAACAATTTAGCGATAACTCCTGGTTGCCTTTTCCGGCATCGCCGCTATAATGATGTTATTCGTTATCTTTCCTCCATGCTTATTGTTTCTTATGTTCGCCATACACTGCGTTTTCTCCCCATCCTCCTCAGCTCTTTTTTGCGGATGCTCCTCCTTGGAGAGCCTGTAGGGGGCTCACAAAAGTTGTTTCGGGTTTTCTTAAGGCCTTCTGGAGGCCTCAAGGGCGCATTCTGGGGTCTTCTGGGGGCTTCCTCGGGCCACCCTGCCTCCAACCGCCGTCTTCCTGAACGAACGGATCACGATTTGGAATTCTTCGCAGGGTGTCATTGGGCCGTCTTGGGCCGCCATGGGGCTCTCTGAGGGCCATCTTGGACCCGTGTTGTGCCGTTTTGGGGCTCTCTTGGGCTGCCTGGGAGCCCTTTCGGATGGTTGTGGGGCGATTTGGGAGCCTCCCAGGCGGCTTCGGACGCCCAGAAGACCGCCGTCTTGGAGCGTCTGGAAGCCGAAAAGAGGAGAACCCCCAAAGGCACCAAAACGCACAGGATTTTTGCCTCGGGGGGCCTTCTTGGGAGTGCTCTTGGAGGCCGGAGGCCTCTTGGGCCATCTTGAGGTCGCGTCGGTCACTCTTGGAGCGCTCTTGTGCTGTCTTGGGGGTCTCTGGGAAGTCTCCGATGACCCCCTGATCGCCCTAAGTGTGCTGGGAAGGCTTGGCAAAACGCCTTGCGAGGCCCGGTGGCCGCTTCGAGGCCCGTCCGGAGGGCCCCAAAGCCCCAGGTCCCGGGAGTCCGGTTTTGGGGGGGGGTGATGATGGGTTTTCCCCCCGCCCGGGCTTATAAAAATAGAGGAAGAGGAATATATATATATATATATATATGTGCAAACATACTTTACGTGCATATATATGTATATATACACATATATGTGCAGTTGCCTCTCCTCCTGGGATCGGCGATCGATGTGTCGAGGAGCCGTTGGCCCTGCTGGGGCCTCCGGGGAGGCTTCTCCGTCGCCGCGTCCGGTCGTCTGTCCTGATCTATTCCCCTTCTTTTGGTCGGGAAGAACAACTGGTCGCCCCAGTCTCGGGCCCCCAAAGGCCCGAATTGCTCAACGTCGGGGGCACTCGAGCCGCGATCGGTGCCGTGACGTTGCTTCGTCTGTTCTCACGACGGATTCGATGCTCGTTGCGGGGACCTTCCTGGAGCCCACCTAACGGATCTGTTCGGCCCCAGTTCGACTCAAGTTCGACCCAGGTTCGACTCAGGTTCGACTCGGGTTCGACTCAGGTTCGACTCAGGGTCGACCCAAATCGACTGACGTTCGACGCAGCTTCGACGCACGAGTGGAGCGAATGGCTCCAGGAAGGTCCCCAGAACGAGCATCCAAGGTGGATTGCATGCCAGGGGCTCTGTCCAAAGCCTTTCGGGGGTGGCGCCATCGTGGCTTGGTTCGTCGGCCCTCCTCGTGGCCCCTGGGGGGGGGGTGCACGAAGAGCCTACGGCAATCTGGACCGGGGCCTCCTCGGCCCCGGGCCGATGCTTCAGTCTGGCAGCCCGAGGCATGTGGTGCGCGCCGAGCAGGTCCTTCGACGGCCTCACCCGGAGCCCCGGCATGTGCGACGACTGCAGGCGGCCGGGAGGGGAAGCCGGGGCCCGCTTCGACCCGATCTCGGTCTCGATCTCGGCCCCATCCAATTCGATTCTGGTTGTCCGACGATCCGTTGCGATCCTAATATGTTTGCACGGCACGCTCGTCCAATCTTGGCGAGGCCGATTCGATCGATGAGGTGTTCGATCATGAGCCGCTTGATGGATGCAGCCATCCATCTTCCGCTCCGAAGACCGCTGGAGACTGCTAACGGCCGCCGAAGACCACAGAAGAGCGACCGAAGACCTCCGCAGGCGGCCCGGGGTCGACTGGTAAAACAAGGGGCCCATGGTCGAACACGTAAGCTTCGACTGTGGCGCCGTGCCGATGCAGCCCGATCCGATGCATGTTCCGGTCCGATCCGGTTTTCGCGTTCGGTCAGGCCTGTCCCTCTACTGGAGGATGATTCAAACATAGTGCAAAAATAGTCAGGGGACGATGTTGTTACCATTCTTGATCATCGTGGGAGGATTGTTTGACTATTTTTCTTCTTCGTCCAAATTCCCCCTGTAGGGGGAAGTCTCGCGATTCGATGCCGGCTGCTCCTGGGAGGGGCAGCAGCAACACGGTTCGAAGGCGCTTGCCGTGCGGCCACGCTGATGTTGAGTCGGCGCGCGGGGCAGATGTTTGTGACGCGCAGGCGTGGGCCGATACGTTGGAGGTCGTGTTGTGTTTTTGTTGTCTACGATGCCGCCTCTGTTTTTTCCGCTGCGGATCTCGGGGGGGGATGGCTAGGCAAGCGCATACGAACCCCCTCTCTTCGAAGAAGGAGCAACCACAGAACATGAACTTTTGGCGCTCCGCGCGGATTCCTTGGATTCGCGCTGGACCCCCCTCCCTGGCGCGCGGATCCAAGAAGTCCGCGCGAAGCGCGACAAGTTTATGTTTATGTGTTTGTGTTATTCCGGGGCAGTTTTTTTGTGACGCGCAGGCGAGGGCCGATACGTTGGAGGCTGACTGCACCCGAGTGAAGGGTGCGGCAGCCCTCGTCGGTGGGACCCGCGGGATTCGGGCTCGCAGGCAGTCGTGAGTCGGGCGTGTCCCTCGACAGGAGGAGTATTCAACAACACTCAACAGATAGACCGGGGACCAGGATTTTTTTTTTGTTTTTCCTAATTTTCAGCACTAGGTGGATTTTTGTCAGTAGTTTTCTTGACTCGCCCAAAATCCCCCTATAGGGTGGACAGGCCCGACCTAACGCTAATGGACCGCGAGTTCCCCCAGCTGTGTTGGTGGTGGTCACTGCGTGAGGGAAAGCACAAGTCCCGAGCTGAGCAACAGGCACCACGAATCGCGACGACGCCGACGACGACGAAAACGGGAACACCACTGTCGGCGGCGGATCTGCGGGGGGAAGTCCGCGGGGGCGGGCCTGCTCAGAAGGCGCGGGATGCCTCCGACCTGATTAGCTTTCCGAGCCTTCTTTGGATACAGTCAACCCGCACAACAAGGATGGGCAGCACTCCCAAGGGTACCCTTGCATCCTTGCCTCCTCAGTCCATCCTTGGCCACTTTCGTTGGCCGCGAGCTTCGAAACGGCCTTCCAAAACCCTTGAATCCTTATTGTGCATCCTTATGATACAGGGCGACCGCACAGATACGGTTTCTCAGCAGGCCACAGGGCTTCTGAGAAGCCCCGCCGCCCTCTAAGCAGGCCTTCTCCCTCGCACTTCCTCCCCGGTCGCGCCGCCGCCACTGGTGAGGGGTTGTCCTCGGGCTGTCGGGGGCCTCTCCTGGGCTGCTGGGGGGGCCCTCTCGGTCACCGGCACCGTAGCGGGTACTCACTACCGGGTGTTTTGGAAAGTTGCCGAAAGTTGGCCTTTTGAGGGCCTCTTTCTGGCAGCATTGCAGCGTTGCCCACATCGGGGAGGGTTGGGTTCGCCGGGTCGCCGGCCAAAGTGCCCGTCAGTGGCGTCCCCGTTTGAGGGGCGCTGACTCGGTCCACAGCGGGGCGCGGGGCTCTCTGGGGCCATCCGAGGGCGCTCTTGGGGAGGCCGTATTGAGGGCCTCGCCCTTCCGGGGGGCAGTTTGGGGCCGTCTTGGGGATCTCCTGGGCCGTCCCAAGACAGGCGAGGGTGCGACATTTCTTGCAGCAATCGAGGATGCGCAGTGGTCTTCGCATGCCTGGCCGACCCCGAGGGCAGGGCTCATTTCGATGCCTCCGGCTCGGTCCGATTCGAGTTCGATGGCCCCCGATTCCGCTTCGGTTCGGCTTCGGATTCCGACCTGGATGCCCATTCCTCAGAGGAGGCCGGTTGGCCTGCCGATCTCTGCCGATTCGACTTCTCCCAAGTCGGCCGCCGATTCCCGCCGAGCCGGCCCGTCTCGATCGCCGAGCCGAGCTGTGGATGCGAGTCGGGGCTCCCCTGCTCGAGGCTGCGCAGTGGCCGCTTTGGGCCTGGCTGGCCGTCCCCCGCCGTGGGGCCCCCGAGGCGGACCAGGCCACGCCCACGAGGCGGCCTCCTGGGCCCTCTTTGGGGGGGCATCTCTTGGCCGCCTGGGGAGCGTCTTGGAGTCGAATGTTCCAAAATGGTTTAAAACATAGTCGGGGGACGATTTGTTTTTTGGCGTGTTTGCTCAATTCGGTGAACACGAACTGTTGCCGCCCAAGATCCGCCTGTAGGGAGACATGCCCGACCTAGGGCTCGACCGAAGCGGTGCTCCAGCGATCTCGTGCACTGGTTTCGTTTTGGTCTCGTTCTGCAGCGGAGGCGAGACGAAGACAGAGCGACGGAGAAGACACGCAAAGCGAGAACGGAGGACACTCTGCAGGTCGAGCCCTGCGGAGACCACCGGGGGGGGGGCCATCTTGGAAGCCACCTTGGCAGTGTTGTAGACGTTTTTCCCCAAATCAGCTTTCGGAACGGGGTGCGGTTGTGGGAAAGGCTGGCTCCGGCCGAGGGAAAGGAGAGCAGATATATCCTCAAACGAATCTGGTGGCCTGGGCCATTTCGCCGAAGACATCCTGACAACTCTCGTCTCTGAGCTGTCTGGGACTTGCCGTTTCGGCTGAGGTGTCCTCGAACGTCTCGGCTCCCGGACGCCGTGCGCAAGATGTGTTCCGGCGAGCTTCGCCCGAGACGTCCTTCCAACTTTGAGCTCCGAGACGCCGCGCGCAGGGTGGTCCAGCGCGTTTCGTTGGAGACATCCTCGCAATTCGGGGCTCCGAGCTGCTGCGCGCGGGGTGTTACCGGCGCGTTTCGCCGAAAGCATCCTCCCGACTCTGCGCTCCGCCGCCGCGCGAGACACCCTCGCAACCCTGAGCTCCGAGATTTGTCACGAGAGGTGGCCCGGCGCGTTTCGCTGAGACATCCTCGCAAGTATGCGCTCCGAGCTGCCGCTCGCGAGGTGGTCCAGCGCGTTTCGCTTGAGACAGCCTCGCAACTCTGATTTCCGAGCTGCCGCGCGAGAGGTGGTCTGGCGCGTGTCGCTGCACCCCCCAGCCCTGAGAAAATTTGCGCACAGGTGTGTGGCCCGTTTCGTTTGAGATATCCTCGCAATTTGGGGCTCCGAGATGCTGCGGGCGAGGTGGTCTTTCCAGTTTCGCCTGAGACACCCTCGAAATTCTCGACTTCGAGATGGAGGGGAAAGTAGGGAGGTCCACGGGAGAGCGCGACTCCTACGCACAATGTGAGGAAGTCTGGTGCGAGAAAGTGATTTTGTAAAGAGGTATCAGCAAGGAGTCGCTGTTGTTGTAAACCGGGAGCCAACTACAGTTTCGGTGACCCCAGCTTTTCCTTGATACGTAGCAAGGTGACAGCCCCAGGACGAGCATGTTCATTGAACATTGCAATGGTCACTGGACAGGCGGAACAACAATTTGTTCTTCTTGAGAAGTGAGAATTCAACAACAACGCGATAACAATAACAACACTGACAGCAACAACACATTCCACCAACAACAGCAACAACATATTCACACACTGTTAACAATCCCAACAAAACAGGAGCATTAGCAGCAATAATTTCAACAGCAACAGCAACAACGCCACCAACAACAGCAGCAACAACAGCAACAACGCCAACATTAACAACAGCAACAACAACACCAGCAACAACAGCAACAACAACAGCAACAACAAACCAACACCAACACCAACACCAACACCAACACCAACACCAACACCAGCACCAACACCATCAATGCAACGAAAACCCGCACGGTGGAACCCCACTGCAGCCACGCACCTAGCACCCCGCAGTTCCGCATACGAGTGAGGGGGCGGGCACGGGTCGGGTCGCGGGTGGGTCGCGGGCGGGTTGTTGGTGGGTCGCCGGGTGGGTGGCGGGTGTGTCGCGGGCGGGTCGCGGGAAGGTCGCAGGTGTGTCGCGGGTGGGTCAAGTGCGGGTCGTGGGTAGGTCGCTGGTGGGTCGCGGGCATGTCGCGGGGGGATCGCGGGGGGGTCGCGGGTTTGTCGCGGGCGTGTCGCGGGTAGGTCGCGGGCGGGTTGCGAGTGGGGCGACGACAACAACAGCAACAGCAACAAGCAGCATCAATCAACAACAACCACAACATCCACAACAGCAACAGCAACAGCAACAACAACAATAAAACCAACAACACCAACACCAAGAGCAACAACACCAGTAACAACAATCATTTTACCCGTATGCTCTATGATTATTTTTGCCCATCATGACATCCCCCTCCCCCTCATGGGGCATGTCATTGCACAGGGGGGTTCGATATTTCCTTACCCAAATCCATCGACGCAACAACAGTCCGCACCGCGGAACCCACGTCAGCCGCGCACCCAGGACAGTGAATGACCGTTCGGCCCCCCTCATTCTGACGTGCCTCCTGGGTTCCCTAGACATGTATGATTGGTCGATTCCTTCTCGAGGTGGGCTGGCAGGCTGGAGGGCCAGGAGTATGAGGGCCTCCCGTCCCGGTACAACGCGGAGGCGTACGCGGTCATGACTGCATCTGACCTG